AGAAAAACAAATGTTCCAAGCAAAAGAGAAAGTTGTTTTTATTTTTCTCCCATAATGGACAAAAGATAGTCAGCTAGGGGTGCTTTGTGATTTTATCCATTTTTAAGAAGAATGAATTCTGTTCTCCAATCTTTCTCCCCCATACTGGGTTTTGTTTTGTTATGTTTAAGTTGTTTCTTAGGGTCTTCCTTAGTTGGTGGACTCTTAGCCAGTCTAGTCCTTGGCAGGGCTAATTTTTACTGTTTCTCAAAGCCCCAGAAAGCATTGATCACAACTGTGGGTTAAATAAGTGACATTTAATACCTCCCAGCCTGAGGTAAGTTTTATTACAAGGCCATTTCTTGTGATCATCAAGGAATTTGGAAGATTATTATTTTTTCATTCTTTCCCACAGAACTCCAGAAGCACACAATCAGCAATGTCAGGTGACTCTTAAAGTTAGTCCTGAGGTTCAAGAAAGTTGAACATTTTAAAGCTCTGTTATTAAAGCTCTACCAGTTATTGATTTGTGGTCTATTTGCTGTTGCTGCTGTTGTGGTTGTTTAAAATAGTGATTTACATAGTTGGGGCATGGAGTCTCAAAGGAAAAGGCATATGCCGGTGGTCTCGGGGCCAATGTGGCCTCGAGTGGTACACACTTCTGATTCTGGTTTTGTCCAGACTGAACTAACTGCCTTTTTGAGGCACGAAGTACGGGAAAAGATCTCTCAGTCTTAGGAAAACTTTAATGGTTATGTTCAGTGTTTTGATGTCATAAATTTATCTCTCCGCTTTCCACCCTAGATTCTGTGCCTTGACCACTATTTTAGCGTGGAAGAAAAAAAAATATTATTAGTGTACTCTGTATTTTAGGTACAAGTCTGACAGAAATAGTTTTTAAATTAATTTGATAGTATTCTAAATTCAAGCATTGTTCTGCATGGAAGGAAATATCCTAGCCTGCTGAAGTCCTTTATTCCTGTGGACATCTTTCTAATATAGGACATTTTAAAGTAACTGTGTAATAATTTTAAATAAAAATAAGTAAATAATATTAAATGTTTTTGTTACCTAGGTGTGACAGTGGTGTGAGACAGCATGGTACAGTGCATAAAACACTGCATCTGAAGTCAAAGATCCCAGTTCAAACCCTGCCCATCACTTGGGCAAGTCATATAACTTCTCAATTTCCTCCTTTGTTAATTAAGGGAGGTGGGCAAGATGGGCTCTGAGGTTTTTCTAGCTCTGGTTCTCTGCTGGTTTGTATTTTTGTTATTGAAGAAAGAGGGCATGAGTGTTATGCTAGGAACCACACTGGATGCAGTCCCTGCCTTCCAGGAGTTTATAATCCAGGATAAGGAGTTAGAACAAGTGCATATGTTAAATAACTAAAGAGTGCATATACAGACTACTTTAACCACATGTGCTAATATATGAAGTATAAACAGTATGCTTAGTCCCAGCCAGAAGTGTCCTCCTTATGCATATAAATGATCATGCTCCTCTTTTCAAAAACTATTGGTGGTTTCTGCTGCCAGAAAGGAGAGTTCAAAATTTTGCCTGGCATTCAAGATCTTCCAAAATGATGCCACACTACCTTAATCAACAGTATCTCATATTACTCTACTAAATGGAAGCCATGATGCAACTAAATTAGACCTTGTTGGAAGGCAATTTCCTTTTGTATCAATGAATAGTGGAAATGTCCATGACCAAACAAGAGACAGAGAGAGACAGGGAGGGAGAGAGAGAAAGAGAGAGACAGAGACAGAGACAGAGACACAGAGAGAGAGTCAAAGAGGATAAACTGGAAAGTTTTGATTACATAAAATTTAAAAAAAAGCTTTTGCATAAACAGAACCAATGCAATTAGAAAGGAGACAGGTTACTGGAAAAAATACCTTTATTTTTCAGATAAATGTCTTATTTCTAAGACATATAGAGAGCCAAATAAAATTCACAAAATAAAATTCATCAATTGATAATTGAAAAAAGATATGAATGGGCAGTTTTCAAAGGAAGAAATCCAAGCTACCAACAAACATGAAAAATGCTCTAAGTAACTAATAATTTGATAACTGCAAATTGAAACAACTCATATTATACCCATCAGATTGGCAAAAAATGACCAAAAGAAAAAAGAATGACAAACATTAGAGGGGCTATGAAAAAAGGAAAAAAAAACATTTAGTGGAGATATGAATTCGTCCAGCCATCCTGGAAAGCAAATTGGAACTATGCCCAGAAAGTCACTAAACTGTGCATACTCTTTGACCCAACAATACCACTCCTAGGTCTATACTTCAAAGAGATCAAAGAAAGAGGGAAAAGAGCCATAGGTATAAAATATATAGCAACTCTTTTTTTTTTTGGTGGCAAAGAATTAGAAACTAAGGAGGTGCCCATCAATTGAAGAATGGATGAATGGAATATACTGAGTGTATCAATACTACTGAACAGTAAGAAATGATGAAAGGGTTGGTTTTAGAGAACCTTGGAAGATTTGTATGAAATGATAGAGTAAAGTAAGCAGAACCAGAAGGACAACTTTTACAATAAAAATAGCAAAGTAAAGATAGGTCAAATTGATGAGGTAGAAGAGTGCTTGAGGCAGATGGAGCAAGCAGGACATGAGAAGGGAGATGAGATGCAGGATGCAATCAGCCAGAAAAATGATTAAGGAAGACTATGCATTGAAGCCCCCATGACGGACTTGTCTGTGTGCTTTCACAAAGCACCCTCAATTCCAGAACAACTCTTCCCCTCTCCTTTCTTGTTCTCTTTGCTTATCACCTCTAGACTATGTGATATCCCAGGCATTTTGGAGCCATGCTTGCTCCTCCTATTCTCTTGTCCCCTTCCCCCATTCCATAAAATTGCATTTAAACCATACCTTTGACCTAGGTAACTGCCTCTGCCTCCTATGGGAAGCTCCCTTAACCCAGAGCAGCACCTGGCCTGTGCTCTGCCTCCCCCATGGAGTAGAGCCCATTGGGGCTCTGCCTCACAGGGAGCAGGCCTGCTTCGGTGCATCACCCCAAAAATGCCTTTCTTTAACTTGGAGACTGTCTGAGTGAATTCTTTCAGAACACTAGGCCCTGTTGGGGTCCTCCCTGAACTCATCACCAATGGAGATAGAGAAAGTCTAAGTGAATTCTTTCACACCTGAACCAGGTCTCCCAACTCTGACCTCAACAAAATCATTAAGCATTTATAAAGCACCTATACTGTACTAAGTGCTAGAGATACAAAGAAAGTCAATCACACCTCTCCTCCCCAAGAGTCCCTTCTTTCAAGGATCTCTCAATCTAATGGGGAGGTTAGCATGCAAAGAACTCTGTAGAAATAAGACATACAGATAAATTAGAGGGAATCAGGGAAAAAAAGTCTTCTTGAACAATTTGAGATTTTATTCGAGACTTGAAGAGAGTCAAGGATACCAGATGTTAGAGATGAGGATGGAGAGAATTGCAGGCATGGGTAACAGCCAGTGAACATGCCTGGAGTCTGGAGATAGAGTATTGCATTTGAGAAATGACAAGGAGGCCAGTGTCACTGTACTACAGATTTCATGGACAGGAGGAAGGTATAAAGAAACATGCAAACAACTTTGAGATTCTTAAGGACGCTGATCAATGCAATGAACAACCCTATTTCCAGAGAACTGATGCTAAAGCATGCTGCTTGCCTCCTGACAAAGAAATGATTGATTCAGGTTGTCAAATGAGACACATTGTTGTATGTGGCCAGTAGGGGAATTTATTTCACTTGGCTATGCATATTTTTAACAAGGGGTTTTCACCTGTGTTAATTTTAAGGGGAGAGGGCTGGTGGGAGAGAGAATAAGTGATCATAAATATAAATTAAAAAAACAAACAAACATATATTAGATCTTGTTCCACTAATATACCCTGGGCTCTTCTGACTCTATGTATCTTTTCATGCTTCATGCCTGGAATGCCTTTTCTCCCTCTTCACCTGTCAGATTCTTACCTATCTTCAGAGCAAAATTCAAATGCCACCTCCTCTATAAAATCCTCCCCATTCCCCTTAGCTAGTCATGACCTTTGTCTTGTGACTTAATATAACATTTTGTTTTGCACCTTCTCTTTTGCATTTATCATGTAATATTATTTATCATAGCTCATGGTCTACAAGATTGTATGCTCCATGAAGGAAGGAAATATCTTCTCACTAAATTCTATAGCTTTCCTAGCACCTATCCATCCAATGTGTGCTTAATAATTATGCATTGCAGTTTATTAGCAAATTACATATGAAATAAATAGCAAACTAAAACAGAGGTTGTGTAGGAGAGTAACCATAAAAGAAGTTTGTGAAATATGAGTGAGAATCCATTGGTGAGATATCTTTTTTTAGTCAAAGCAGGATCAGTAGGCCCCATAAGTTGCAATGGAGGCAAATGTCATTTTCAAAATTGCACTTGAAAATTGTTCTGTTAGCTGGTTGTAGCCTAGACATCTCTTTCATTACTTGGATCACCACTGCAGCAGGGAGGTTTAAGTTTTTTAAAAATATATATATTGACATAATATCTTCTCCTTGATATTCTCTTTTCCCTAGGTTTTCATGACATCGCTTTCTCCCAGTTTTCATCCTACCTGTCTGACCATTCTTTCTCAGTCTTCTTCACCCAAGTTGCACCCACTAACCATGAATGTCCCCCAAGCCTCTGTCATGGATCGTCTTCTCCTCTCCCTTTATCTTCCCTTTATGTTTTGTGTATAAATTAAATTCATGGGAGCTGATCACAAAAGGAAAATAAAGCGTTGGAGTCAAGGATAAAAATCACTCTGCCTGCCCTACTACACTACTTGGCACATCCTTGGCATTTAACAAATGTTGATTTACTTAATTAAATTTTATTTTCAGATATTGTCATTTTTAAACAGAAACAATATGTTGTGGCAAATTTCAGCCAAATATTCTTCATTGTAAATCCATAAATAATCATTTTTCTTCACAGTCTCTCTAACTTTTCTTCTTTGTTCTTTCTCCAGTTCCAGAGACCGAATGACTTCTCACCCCCCTTTCGCTTTGGGACTGTGCCCAATGGTAGCACAGAGAGGAACATTCGCAATAATTATCTTGAAATGCATACCTACATGGGAAAATTCAACCAGAGGGGTGTGGATGATGCACTGCTCTCTCTGAAGACAGGGTGAGAACTCTAAGCTCAGACTCTTTCATAGCAATCTTATTTCTAAAATTCCTAAAAGAAATAATTTGCTGAACACTTTGAAAAGGGACAGGCTCAAAGGAGAGAACAGAATAAACGGGGGTAGGGGCAGGATAGCATGGAGGGAAATATAGTTAGTCTTTCACAACATGACTATTATGAAAGTGTTTTGCATGACTACACATGTATAACCTATATGGAATTGCTTGCCTTCTCAGTGAGTGTGGATGGGGAGGGGGTAGGAAGAGAATTTGGAATTCAAAAAGTCATGGAAGTGAATGTTGAAAACTAAAACTTAATTAATAAAAAAGAAATGATTTGCTATCTAAATTGTTTATCTCTTCTCAGTGCTTAATATAATGTTCTACATGTAACAGACACTTAACCAATGTTTATTGACCTGAATTGGCATACCAGAATACCCTATAGGGTGCTAAAAATTTGCATTTAATGAGATATGATTATTTCCTCTTCCCAAGAGCTTTTGGCTTAAAATTGGCAGTAGTCATGGGAGACGTTTATTTTCTTCAATTTTTTTTTTAAAGATTACCTTATGGTAGGCATGAAGAAGGGAAGAATAATAGAGAATATGCATAAGTGGGAGAGAAGAAGTAGTATAGCTATTAATTATGAAATGAATACTTCTTCACTGAGAGAAGCCAAAGATGATCCTGGGGCTTTGGAGATGATAGGGATGGGGGACTGGGCTATGAGAGGCAACCATGAGAAGATAGTAGAAATGCTTTCAGACACAATCATGAATGTATTCATGAAAGTTCTCATTTCAGCTTCTCATGACAGTTTGTTATTTCTGATCTATTTCTTAATTATTGCTAATATGATTCTATTAATGCATCTATTTGTTTATGCACAACCACATTGACACTTTCTCCCAATGGCTTTTGCTTTGGGATGACATTGAATAGAATGAATTTTGTGGAGAGTCCTAAAGTTAGCCTTGTTTGCTCCATGATAAACAACTAGTGCCCTCCCCACCAAACATGCGCACGCATGCGCGTACACACACACACACACACACACACACACACACAGAATCTATTTTGTAAATACTGTTACTATACTTTTGTATGGCCCAACCTGAGTCTTCTTTTCTTTTAAAAAATATTGTTAAATGTTGCTAATTAACATAAACACTAAACAAACAGCAAAGTCCATTTATTTTTGTAATTTATCTTTTGTTAAAAGAATGGAAGACCATAACTTAATAGGCTAGTACCAACATTGTCCACTGAACTGAATTTATGTTTTGTTGCCTTGATATCTTTATATATTTATACTAATTTTTGTATATTTTTTGGGTGTGCTGTCTTCATTATACATTGGTTAATAATCTTCCTGTATTTCTTTGAATTTTTCACATTCTGTTGTTCTATATGTACCTTACTAATACTCCATACATGCATATACCATATTTCTCACAATCATTTTCTAATTATTAGGGACATGTTTTGTTTCCAATTTTTCCCATCAGGAACAGTGCCATCATTGTAACATTTTTCTCTATCCATGACTTTCTTTTTTGAGGGGAAGAGCATTAGTAAATCTAGTAGTGGAATTTCTACATCATATATGAGTAGTTTTTAAAATTTTTGTAAATTATACAATTCTGTATTGCTTCCCTAATGGTTGGACCCAGTCACAGTTTCACCAGCAGTGCATTAGTATGCCTATTTTCTCACAGCACTGCTCACATTGGGTTTTTCCATATTTAGCCCTTTTTGCCAATTTTATGGATATAAACATCCTCAGAATTGTTTTAATTTTACTCCACTGATTATTTGTGATTCTGAGTACTTTTTTCACATAGAGGTTGCTAATTTGTATTTCTTCTTTTGAAAACAAAGAACTGTCTACATCATTTTACCATCTATATTTAGGAAAAGATCAAGCCTTGCTTTCATAAAAGTGCTTCTTTCCATATGGAGTTACCTAGAACCTTGTATCTTCAGGAACATAGTTCCATAGTCACATTAATTTAAATTCTGTTGTAACTCTTTACTGAAATCTTGTGTTTGGGTTTTCTTTGTTCTCTACCCTGCTCAGGAAGCTGGATGCCTTCATCTATGATGCCGCAGTCCTGAACTATATGGCAGGGAGAGATGAGGGATGCAAGCTAGTGACTATTGGTAGTGGAAAGGTATTTGCCTCTACTGGCTATGGCATTGCCATCCAGAAGGATTCCGGATGGAAGCGCCAGGTGGATCTTGCCATTCTGCAGCTCTTTGGAGATGGTGAGTTAGGAGATAGGAAAGTACTTATTGATACATACATGACAGCCAATCAGATTTCAGCTTCCCTGCTTTCTGTCCTGCCCATTCTGGATATTTCACAATAGTGAGGAATGTCTATGAACACCTCATGGATTGTGGAAGCAAAAATAATGCCAGGGTTGCATATTCAGCTGTGGAAGGACCTGGTACACATAGAGTGAGATCTTTAGAGTCAAAGTCAAAAAAGTGGCTTTTGTAGGTGACTTTTTTGTTTATGGGAGGACTTGTTTTGTTTATTTGTACTGATAAGAGTCAGAAAAGTGAACTTTTAAGAATCTACCTGCATTACCATTCTCCAAATGACATCAGTAGTTGGAAGAATCAAAGTTTGAACTAAGAAATTAATAAACATATGTTTGAACATTGGAGGGAGAAGAGAAGGATCAACCTGGATTGTGTCCTTTTTTTGGTATCAGTGCTTTTCTAATTGCATTATAGTGTAAGTTGTCACTTAAAGGTAATAAAAGTAATAAACCTGTGTACAGGAGGTTTGCAGTAGTGGTATAATGATTAGTGGAAAATTCAGAAACACCAGATCAGATTAGACAGCCCAAAGCTCAAGGGTTTAACCAAACTGCAGGTTATGGAACAAATTCATGAAATTATTTAGGACTTTGCTATTTCGGCCAGAGTTAGAGTGTATCCCAAGTCACCTCTCATCTTTTCTTTTATGTTTTCTGTATTTTATATATGAGGCATCAAAGACACAAGAGTTTTATTTGAAAAATATTGAGATGGGAGCAGCTAGGTGGTGCAGTGGATAGAGCACTGGTCCTGAAGTCAGAAGGACCTGAGTCCAAATCTGGCCTCAGACCAAACACTTGACACTAGCTGTGTGGCCCTGGGCAAGTCACTTAACCCCAATTGCCTAAAAAATAAAAAAAGAAAGAAAGAAAGAAAAATGTTGAGATGGAGGAGGGCTGAATTTGGTGGTCACATTTTATCAACTCTGGTTCACCTTTATCCCTAAAGTGCATGTTTTTACTACAAAAGCAATAAGCTTAAAATCCTCTTGAGAACGCTTCTCTATTTACCTTTTTATTCCTCTCCTAAAAGAGAATTGGAATGAATCCAACTTGATCAGCATTTTTAGGTAAAGGAAAAACTATTGCCTCAAACAGAATGCTTCTGAAATATGTTTGACTTCATTCTCTGGACTGTGGCCTCACATCTCCAAGTGCCTGCTGGATATCTCCACTAGGATGTCCTGCCAATACCTTAAACTCTATAGGTTTATAACTGAATTAATCATCTCCAGAGAGCAGAGATAGAAACAGTGAATGGAAATAATAGCAAGACAGATTTCGGTACAATATTGGGAAGAATTTCCACATATTTTTAATGTTCAGCAGCAGAACGGATTGCTTTACAAAGGAATGTGCTTTCGTGTCTGTTCCCTTTACTGAACTTATTTGTTACAAATGAGGATTCAATCAGAAGGAGGAGGGGTATACGGAAAGGATAATTAAAGTATTATAATATTTTAAAGAAAAAAATGAGCTCCTCATCCACTATGGGTGAATATGTATATACTCTATGTCTGCATGCAAGGGCAGTATAGAGGGGACTCATGAATTGGGAGAGAGGTTGGACAAGATGATCTCTAAGGTCCTTTACAACTCTAAGATTTGGTGATTCTTTGATTCACCTCTAAGGGTATTGCTATCCTCTCATTCATCCCATCTGGAAACTTTACAATTACACTTGACTCTTCCCTCTAGTTCTCTCTTCTCTCATATCCAGTTAATCATCAAGTCCTATTGATTCCACTTTTACAATTATTCTCATATTGGTGCCTTCATTTCTATTACTACAGCCATAACCCTGTAGCTGGGACATAACCTCTTAAATAAACTCTAGTTTCCATCCGTTCCCTTATAATCTATCCTATTCACTACTATCAGGTTAGCATTGATCATATCATTGTTTAGAGAAAACAGTCCAAAATGTAATATGGCATTAAAAACCCTATAAAAGCTGGTCTTTACCAGCCTTTCCCATTGCTACTTTCACTTACTTCTCTACACAAACTACCCACTCCAGACAAACTGGTCAGCTCATTGACTCCCAGGCAAGCTTTTCCCTTTCCCACATTTCTAACTTTTCTCATTCTATCCCCTTTGTTCAGAATATCCTCCCTACTCTAGCTCCATCTTCATCTCTCTCTCTCTCTCTCTCTCTCTCTCTCTCTCTCTCTCTCTCTCTCTCTCTCTCTCTGTCTTTCTCTACACATACATACATAATTACACACACATACATATATGTACATATGTGTGTGTGTATGTATATCCTTCAAGTTGTAGCTTAAAAGCTACCTCCAGCTGGGAGTGATCATTCCTTTCCTACTGTAATTGACTAACTTGCATTATAGTTATTCCTGATTTTGTCTTATCTCCTATCCTAAATTTTATGTTTCTGAAAAGTTTAGACTGTAACTTATACACTTTTGCATGTACTGCTTTGTATATAGTGGGTGATCAATAATTATTTAACAAATGCATGCAGGGATGAATGAATATATTATAATTAAAACAAACCTCTGCTAATTTTCTCTCTCATTTTATTTTATTTCATAATATTTATTCAGAGGATTCTTTTTCCTCCACCCTATAATTCTCTGTTTTCTCATAACTTCTTTCCTTTGCTCTCATCCCTAATCCCCATATCTGCTTTTCTCTAGGGGAGATGGAAGAACTGGAAGCTCTCTGGCTTACTGGCATTTGCCACAATGAAAAGAATGAGGTCATGAGTAGCCAGCTGGATATTGACAACATGGCAGGTGTCTTCTACATGCTGGGGGCAGCCATGGCCCTCAGTCTCATTACATTCATCTGTGAACACCTTTTCTATTGGCAGTTCCGCCACTGTTTTATGGGAGTCTGCTCTGGCAAGCCTGGAATGGTCTTCTCTATAAGCAGAGTAAGTGCTTTTCTCCATAAAGTTGTGGCTTTACATGGGATATTTGAGTATACTGTTGTACGAGGAGAGTAAATGATTGGTAGTTCATGACCTCCAACCAGTACCTTTGCTAACGTACAAGAAAACTCATTATGGAAGTATCTCTGGAATTTTTTATGCCCTTGTTTTGAATTAACTTGGGCAATGAGCATAATTCTTCTTTCTTTGTGATATTTTGAGATGACTTCAATTAGAACTAAGGGAATGAAAAATGGAAAATGGCTTGACATTTTCTCGAACTTCTTTTATCATCATTAATTGATGTAGTAAAACACCATGATATAGAATAGAATTCAGGACCTGGAGTCAGAAAAACTTGACTTCGAATCCTGTTTTTAGATACTGAGCAGCTATCTGATCTAGGTAAATCACTTAACTTCTCTCAGGCTCAGTTTTCTCATCTCTAAAATGGAGATAATAATAGTACTCAGGGGTGTGCTGGAGCCAGCTCATATGAGCTAGAAATGATTGTTAAAATTTTACTGTAAGCATTTACAACTTGGAAATCAGCAATGCCATAAATCAGAGCTTCCATTTTTTTAAAATTGTTTTTCTACAGTTAAGAAAATGGTGGAAAAACTGTTAATAATGCGCATTTAACTTAAAAGTATGTGTATACAGTTTTCCCCCAGAAGGTTGGTTCTAAAATATTTCCCAGCATACTCCTAATGAAACCCATCTCATAGGGTTGTTGTATGGATCAAATGAGATAATGTATGTAAAGTGTGTTCCAAACCTTAAAGTACTATCTCTGCCAGCTATCATTACTAGTCCACAGATTTGCTAAGTTTCTGCCAAATTTTGCTCACTGTGGCCTGTTTTTCTCACTCTCCCATGGAAAACCAATAATGAAGGCATGGATCTTTGTCCTCAGATGCCACTCATATAGCTCCGTTCCACTCTGTTTTAAACATTGATAATAGATGAGAGGACCGAAAGAATGCAGCCCCAGGCTACCAGATCCTTATATTTGAAAAACTTCGTTAATATCAGCAGTTGAATTTAGAAGTAGAATTAATTGGGAAGAGGGGAATGGGGTACTGACCTTTCATATCATTCTTTAATTTGGGTTGTTTTGTTCTTCCTAGCTCTAGTACTAGAAACATATCTAGGAGTATTCAATGAGTGCCCTCAGTAGGCTTAGAGAATCAGTGATCTATCCTATGATTCTGATCACAAAGCTATAAACATAGCCAATAGGCACAAACCTAAACTCAAACAATTAAAACCTCTTTATTCTTAAAGTCCAATCCTCAAGTTATTCAAGTAGAGCTTTTGTAAGGAGAATGATTTTTTTTCTCAAATAGTTTCAACAAGTCACTTTCTTATAGATTCAATGATTTTTGAAAAAAAACAATTCTTTATTTCTTCATTAGCCAACAATGTGTTGAGGTTATTCAGTAATATTTGAAGATGGATATCATACTGAATCTACAATTCGTTTTCTTATTTCCTTTGGTGACTTCTATAGCTATGCCTTTTTGTTTCACTAAGGTCACCTTGAAGAGATCATGTACATTAAAACTATAGGACAGGTGATCCAGGAGAAACTAGATTTATTGGACTGAGATCCAACTATCTACTTTAAGGTTTAGATACACTCAGATATTCCCCACATTCTTTTTAGCTTAGCTTCAAATAAATTTGTACTCCATCAAAAGGCAAGCTAAAAAGGCGAGATTAGTCGCAGTCCAGTCTTTATTATTCATATCTGTCAATAGCAAAGGCTGATTGCTTTGCTTAGCAAAGAGAAAAATCTCAGTTTTCTTACATAAATAATCATTATAATAAAAGCACCACGATTTACTAGAGTCCTAGATCTGGAAGACCTGGGTTCAACTCCTTGCTTTGACACTTTCTAGCTGTTAATCCTGGGGAAGTTACTGAGCCTCCAGGTGCCCCAGGCAACTCCAGATAACTAAACTACTAAACCATAGAGAGGCTGTCATTAAACATTAGTGAAGGGAGTGACCATGCTGAGGAAACTGCAGGACCTTCCCATAATCACTATGAGGAAGTTGAAAGATGAGAGTAAATGAGAGAATTCAGCAAAATAAATCCTTAATCACACAAAATACTTAATATTTTGCCCCAATTCACCTTGGATATCTAAATCATGTAGCAGGAAAATGTTCTTTAAGCCCTGAACTCCCTATTCTCTGTCAGAATTATGTTTTCTATATGTTTCAAGTTCAGCTATTAGCTGGTGGTTGATTTTTTTTTTGCCAGTCACTAGTAGGCTTTTATTATTACATGCATGTAAAATAGCTATAAATTATTGTTACATCTATAATATAGCTCTAATTTCATACAGATTATTCTCTTTTTGTCTCTTACATAACTTAAAAGCACATTCTTTTAAAATTTATTTTACTTTTAATTTATGGAATAAAACAAGCATTTTATTACATAGTATAATAATAATTTAAAAAAAGATGATTGCACATGAAACTGCAAATCTCTTTCCTATTCCTTTGAATTATATAATAAAATTATCATGTAAATGTCTTTTTTTTCCTTTTTTTTCTTCCTCCCTCCTCCCACTCTAGATATGGCTACCATTAGATTCTAAATACCTCTTTAGAATCTATATGCTGGAGAACCCAGGAGTTTTATCCTATTGAGCTTGGCCCCATCCCTTTCTCAAACAGAGCATTAAGTTACCATGTGTAGTACTATTATTCATTAATGTCAGGATACTGGTAATATAGGTTGATACAGAGTCTTCTTTTTAAAGACAATGAAATAAAGTAGAGGCAGACCTATTCAAACCAATGATGTTGCCAATGGCAGAACCACTTGGTTTTTGAGCCTTAATTCATGTAATCAGGCTATGTGGACTATTTTCCCATTAGATGTAAAACTAAACTGTCCCTGACTTCACAAAGTTGCTGTGAGGATCATTTTTTAAAAAATATTCCTGAAGAGCTTTGAAAATCTTCAGGTGCTATAGCACCTATATGAGGTTTCATAGTGTATTTTGCTAAATTAAAAATATGAATTATGGGATTTACTGTTTCCTTTATTTCATACATTAAGTTCTCTTGACCATGCAAGCAAGATAGACTAATTTATTTCCCTCTTTCTTCACAATAATAACACCACAAGAACCCTAATCTGTCCCTGCCTCTTTTTTTTTTCTCCCACTTTAGGGTATATACAGTTGCATCCATGGCGTGGCTATTGAGGAGCGCCAGTCAGTGATGAATTCCCCCACCGCCACTATGAACAATACACATTCTAATATCCTGCGCCTACTTCGTACTGCCAAGAATATGGCTAACTTGTCTGGCGTCAATGGATCCCCCCAGAGTGCCCTGGACTTTATCCGCCGTGAGTCATCTGTCTATGACATTTCTGAGCATCGTCGCAGCTTCACACATTCTGACTGTAAATCCTACAACAATCCCCCCTGTGAAGAGAACCTCTTCAGTGACTATATCAGTGAGGTAGAACGAACTTTTGGCAACCTTCAGCTGAAGGATAGCAACATGTACCAGGACCACTATCACCACCACCACCGGCCCCACAGCATTGGCAGTGCAAGCTCCATTGATGGGCTTTATGACTGTGACAACCCACCCTTCACCACCCAACCGAGGTCAATCAGCAAGAAGCCATTAGACATTGGCCTGCCATCAACCAAACATAACCAGCTAAGTGATTTGTATGGCAAGTTCTCTTTCAAGAGTGACCGTTTTGGTGGCCATGATGACCTAATCCGCTCAGATGTTTCAGATATTTCTACTCACACAGTAACCTATGGAAACATTGAAGGCAATGCGGCCAAGAGGCGGAAGCAGCAGTATAAGGACAGCTTGAAGAAGCGTCCGGCTTCAGCCAAGTCACGGCGAGAATTTGATGAGATTGAGTTAGCCTATCGCAGGCGGCCGCCCCGCTCCCCGGACCACAAGCGCTACTTCAGGGACAAAGAAGGGCTACGGGACTTCTATCTGGACCAGTTCCGAACAAAGGAGAACTCTCCTCACTGGGAGCATGTGGATCTTACGGATATCTACAAGGAACGGGGAGATGACTTCAAGCGTGATTCGGTCAGTGGGAGCAGTTCCTGTGCCAACAGATCTCACCACAAGCATGGAACCAGTGACTTTGGAGCCAACGAGCGCAAACATGGTGTCGTCAGTGGTGTGCCGGCACCATGGGAGAAGAACCTGACTAACCTCGATTGGGAAGACAGACCAGGCGGGAACTTCTGCCGCAGCTGCCCCTCTAAGTTACACAACTATACCACACCAGTGGTGGGGCAGAACTCCAGTAGGCAGGCCTGCATCCGGTGTGAAGCTTGCAAGAAAGCAGGCAACCTCTATGACATCAGTGAGGACAACTCCCTCCAAGAGCTCGATCAGCCCGCTGCCCCGGTGGCAGTGACGTCAAATGCCTCTACCACCAAGTACCCTCAGAGCCCATCGAATTCCAAGGCACAGAAGAAGAACCGGAATAAGCTACGTCGGCAGCACTCCTACGACACCTTCGTGGACTTGCAGAAAGAAGAAGCAGCTCTGGCCCCCCCGAAGCGTAAGCCTGAAGGACAAGGGCCGTTTCCTAGAAGGGAGCCCCTATGCCCACATGTTTGAGATGCCAAGCGGTGAGACCAACTTTGCCAACAACAAGCCCTCAGTGCCCACTGTCGGACACCACCACCACAACAATCCTGGCGGCGGTGGCTACATGCTCAGCAAGTCGCTCTACCCTGACCGGGTCACACAAAACCCTTTCATCCCCACTTTTGGGGATGACCAGTGCTTGCTCCATGGCAGCAAATCCTACTTCTTCAGGCAGCCCACGGTGGCGGGGGGAACGAAAGCCAGGCCGGACTTCCGGGCCATCGTCACCAACAAGCCAGTGGTCTCGGCCCTTCATGCGGCTGTACCAGGCCGTTTCCAGAAGGACATCTGTATAGGGAACCAGTCCAACCCCTGTGTGCCTAACAACAAAAACCCCAGGGCTTTCAATGGCTCCAGCAATGGGCATGTTTATGAGAAACTTTCTAGTATTGAATCTGATGTCTGAGTGGGGGAGGGGGGGTGGGAGAGTTGGGAAGGGGACTGTGCGGGCTGTGGGGGGAGGGTATGATGTCATTTGGTACCTGTGTCATAGAGGGTGATGGGGTTTGAACTTGGTTCCCATTTGTTCTTCTCTTGGTTCTTCATTTATTTGTGGGATCCTGGAGTCCTGATTTTCATTGAAGACAGCACTGGTGACATCTTTTTCTCATCCTTCCTTTCCTAGTTCCCTCCTCCTTCCTTCATCTATCAGGCATTTCTCCTGTTAGCAGTGCACTGAAATATGATATTCAAGTTTGGTGTATCACAGTGGGAAAAAGAAGTATCTACACATAGAGGGGAACAGAGCAATGGCCCTTCTCTGGTCTCTCTCAGCATGGACTGAATAGTTCTCCTTGCACATACATTTGAGTCAAACAAGGAGAGGTCAGAGATGGTCACATGGGCCAAAGAAGAGAACTCTTCCCCCAGTGATTTTGACTTCAAGTGAAGAAGTAGAAGGCAGAATGGGTGAACTGTTTATGAATTATGAAGGGGCTCTCACCAATTTCTTTTTGCCTAGACTATGTGTGCTTATATTAGGGCATTTGCTATATAGCAGAAGAAAGTAGGCTGACTATATTTGTTTTTTATATATAAGCCAAGAAGCTTACATTAAAGATTTATTTAATTAGTTAGTGGAATGATGCAGGGAAAATATTGACAGAAACACTGGGAATATCCCTGCAAAACTGAAGAGGAAACTATAGTAGTATCCTGGGCAATGATGGAGGTAAGAGGGATTCAGATACTATATTTTCTGTTATTGTGTGCATAAACACATAGGGAGTATTCTTGACTCATTCAATTGTTTGTTTCAACATCACCAAACATAGATAGTTGATATTTTTGGCTTCTATATGAACATGACTATATGTTATTTAAAAATTCTGCCCCCATCCAGAGAGGGTTGGGAGAAAGTGTGGTTATGAATGGATTCAAACAATGCATTCAGAAGTTAATTCAAACTTAGAAATAGTCTGTAGTCTAGGCAAAAGGATGGTGAATCAGCCAACTAAAGCAAAGATGAGAGAAGATTCCTCCGTGATGTATGGCAGTGTTGACCATTACTGGCAAAACAAAACAAAACAAACCAAGGCAAAATAAAACTTTCCTGGGCAAGTTAAGGGTGGTGGGAAGTAGCCATAGTCTTGTAAAACCTTTCCTTATGATTTGGCTCAGATGTCCTAGCAGTTAGTTCCCGGGGTCACCAAGGAAGGAAAAGCAGGTGGGACATTGACGAAGTGAAGAAGAGCTTTATGGTAGGGTGAGTAGGAGAGGGGGATGTCCTCAGTACTTTGATCCCTTCTTACTTAACCCAAAGTGAGCAAAGCATACTTGTTTTCCACAGAATTTGTCATACTTCACACAATGGGAAATGTAGCTTGCCTCCTTGAGAAAAACTGGGGCTTGGTATAAATTAAATAGCCTAAAAATATACTAAGAGCCTGTGGCATGGAGAGAAGAAGGTAATCTGAAAAAAGCCAGAGGATAGAAATCAGGAGTAGGATCTAAGCTGGTACCGTATTGGGGGCCTAACATCCATAAGAATATTGATGTTTCTAGTGTAAAATATTATTGATATAGGAGTTTTTTGATGTCGGGAACCAACCTCACTCCTCTTTTGATTAGTACCATTCTAGAATAAAACTATTTTAGCTCCATGAAGAAAAGTGTTAGTAAAAATGAAGCCCCCTTCTTTAAAAATAGTGTAGCTGAAGAAGGGAAATGGGTATTTGTCACTGCCTATCTTTGAATCTTGTGTGTGGGGAAAGGCATTGAAGAGACTCATAGATCCTACTCTGTGGATGCTACCCCGACCTCCATTCTACCAGGTAGCACCCAAAGGGTCTTATATCAGTTTGGAAGCAAGACAGCAGCTCACTGCTATCCACACAGGACAAATAAACCAGAAAGGTGCTCCTCCCATGGAAAGAAAGCCACCATTTCTCTTTAAGTCATGTTCTCCAGGGTTCTTCTCTACCTTCCCCATTGCCCTGCCTTCCTACCTTTCCATTATCCTCCTACCTCCCCACCACCCACTGTTGATTTTTTACCTCAATATCTTTCATTTTTTAAAGCCAACTAAAGGCCTTGTGAAGCATTGTTTTCTTTCTAAAATGGAGTTGGGGGAAAGGGCTGAACCTCTCACAGGTTTTGAGAGGGGCACAGTGTGCTTTATCTGAGATTAAAGGAGAGACTAAGAGGGAGGACGAAGGGCGAGGATGATGCGGAAGGGCCACCAAAACATGACTCCATCTAACAATGCAGGCTTCTTGCTTGCTCTTCCTCTTCGTCTTACCTCACCCTTTTAAAGTAAAAACCAAACCAACTAACCTAGCGAACAGCAATCTAGAACCAAGGGGACTCTGTCCCTCTCTGACGGCAACAGAGACTAAGATGGTGTTTATTTCATATGTAAATATTTTGTTTTATAATTAATTTTGTATAGATGAAGTGTCCTCTTCTTGTGAGTATTCAGGGTGCGGGACTGGCAGGGTGGGGTGGGAGTGGGGTAGAGGGAAGTGTTTTTGTTGTGGGTTTTCATTTTCCAGTTGGGGGGGTGGGGGTATGGGGATTGTTTTGTATGGCTTTTACTGCAGTGCAGGGTGTCTTGAAGCATTTTGTGTAGGAGGCCATAGGAGGCGGAAAGCCAGGGAAAAACATACTTGTCCCATGGGCCCCTCCTTTCCCCTCCCTTTTTAATCAATCCCTTCATCTGTATGTGAGAAGGATTCCCAAACTACTCCTTGGGTTCTGCCTGGTGCCCAATCTTGGCTCCAGGCTTAGTCCTAGGCTTATTTATCTGCCATCCCCAAGAATGGATTCCAGGTTACCTATATCTTTTAGATGAATTTGCCTCAGAGTTACAATATTATCCCCATTAATACCTGGGATAGAATAGGAGGATAGCCTTAGGAGAAAGACTTAGAGGTCTGAGGGCAGATGTGGAGTCAAATTATCTCCATACCTGGTGTTCCTGAGAGAATTGTCCAAAGCTCATTTCAGGAATCTTCACCCAGTTCCCAGCATGCCTTGTTGATTTGGGGCAACAACAGTCTGATTCATACTGACTCAGCTGATCATTTCTTTCCTTATAGTTTAAGCAATTGCCCTAGGAAAACAACTGTAGACGTCCAAAACTCCCACTATTCTCTAACTGTACTTTTCTAAAAAAGAATGAAACCCAGTTGCAGAAAAGTTTTTTGTTTTGTTTTAACAGAAGCAACTGGCCTTCAAGCACAGGCTTCATTTTTCTAGAAAGGTTTCATTCGATGTTCCCAGATATCAGTGACAGGAGGATCCTATCTTAAAGGTTGAGAAAATTAGGTCTATGGTAGAAGCATATGGATCTCAAGGTGTTGAGTCCTCATTTCTATAATCATCGAGACAAATATTCACCATCAGCTACACAGACACCAACTTCAGACAGATGAGGAGAAAGGATTTCTTTTATAAGATTGTTGGCTTTTTCAAGCATGGCAGTTTGTCTTATTTTCACCTCAGGATCGGATTATATTCCCATTCTGCATAATTTGTCCTACTCCTATCTTGCCCTTCCTTCATCAGGGTCATCTGGTTTCTTTGCCTCATGCCCTTGGTCACTTTTCTTCAATGACTTGAGTGAGATGAGACTAGGTTAGAAATGTATGACCCAGTTCAGAGTGTAAAGAATGTTTACAACATTCATGCCTGGGGAGGTATGAACTTTGTTATACTCTAGAAGTTGTCTCATACTAAAATAATAAAGAAATTAAATTCATGTGAATAGAATTAGCATCAAACCCTGCTTGTGCTATAAATAAGCCCAGGTGAAGACCCATCTGTCTAAAGCTGTGAGATTCCATGGAAACAGTAGCTCAATGACATCTTACTTTTAATTGTCCTTCAGACAAGCATGTTTGCTTGAGTCATTTGTTTCTGCTGTTGTACCCCCACTTTGAATATTATCAGCTACCATCTTTGGATAATCTCTAGTATGCATTCCACCATTCTGGCCACTGCAATGCCTTAATTTTCATTTTAACAGGCCACCAATGAAAAGAATACTTGCTGGCATTGATAGGGACTAGGCTGTCTGTGGGATTACAGGAAATAAAATCTGAGCAGAGAGGTGAAGATAAACAATTTAGTCTTTCTGAGCCCCCTCTGGACATCTTCAAGCATTATTCTGCTGCTTTAGAGATGAAGTGAAGATTTAACTGAAGTTGCAGAGTGCTGGCCACTCTGCAAATTTTGGCCAAGAACTGCCTTCAGTACTTTCATCTTCAGGAGTAGATTAACCTGGATTGCTTGAGCAGCAATTTTTGAAAGACACTATTCCAGCACTTATTCTCATCCTTAGTCTCTATTAACCGCTGTGCCATTTATGGAACACTATGAACATGCCTGCATCTGCAGTGTGTCTATCAGTGAATGTTTCAGGTATGTGCTGTATAGAAAATAATGCAACTGCTGTGGGATTGTGGAATGTGTTGGAAGCATTTTCAAGTAGAACAGACTGGTTATATGGGCGGACTGCTCTATCCAACCTATCTGGGTAACAGGTGCCCGTTTTTTGCTGCCAGATTTTCTGGTTAACTTGTCTTCTCAGCTTGAGATTTGGAATATCCTCTTCTGTGTAGATGATTTATCTTGGTGAGCAATGAGAAAGTAGTGACCCCTTGTTGAATAAAGCAGAATAGAATAGGCAACTGTATATGGCCGAATGTCAGGGTTACTGAGAAGGCCCACCAGAAGTTTCTCTATCACTTAATCATCAATACTTACTGTTTCAACCTTCTTATCCTCTGTCAAAGGGCAAATCCCTTCACCCACCTACAGGAATGGTAGCATACACATATAAATATGAATGAATGAGTTTATTTCAACCTTTCTGGAGACCAGCGAGGAAGAGGCTGAAGACAATAGACAGACTGAAGAGGAATGGAAAAGAAGGATAAAGGTTATAGAAATGGGGGAAGCACC